TTTCTAAAAACAAAAACAACACACAACCAGAGTTGTTTTTAAAAACAATGTTAAGGCAATTTGATGTGTATCTTTAACCGGATTATAGGCGACCCGACTGCATGAGCTAGCACTAATAATTAGCGAGAAAAGTTGTCCATTTCAAAACGCAAGCGAGGGGAAAATGTATACGCCTATTAAATATCGTTTGCCATCCTTTTTGGATACACACTAAAGGATAACAACGCGATTTGAGATCTGTTTCAAACTCTAATAAATCACACGTCCAAAACATAGCTATTAATTAGCTTAAAATTTGTCGATTTCCAAACGTAAATTAATTAAAAAAGCGGAAATTGCCCGGTTTGCAGTGCACGCAGTGCCAGGATTTTTGGTCAGGGTGGGCCAGCAAATACCAAGGGGCGCCAAGCTTTACTTATTTTCATAGAGTGAATTTTCTCGGGGGGTGGGGCGGCTCCCGCCATGGCTACGCCTCTGTATATGTTAACCTATACAGTTTATTCTTGTAGATATAGCCAACTAACATATAGACAAACATACTTATACAATTCATACACCTGTACGTGTTGATCAAGAACAGTTACAACTGCAGTCAGATATCATTAGTTAAAATTTTTCAGCAGATCTTGCTTGCGATCTCTGGATTTAAACGGTATTTCAAAATGCGTCCAAATTGTTTTCATCATGCTGACATTGAAGACTTGGAGCTTATTCCGGTTGTTCATATCATGAAGATCGTACACGCTGTATGTAATCGGTTGTTGTACCTGTAAGCTCTCCGATTTCTTTTAAGACATCCCTTCGATTTTGTTCTTCAGTTTCAACTTCTAGTTCATCGATTAAGTCTTCTCCAATTTCTTCTGGAGTCGCTTCTAATGCTTGTTTGTTCCCAACTTTTCTCGTAGATGCTGCAAGGCGTAAAAAAGTTTTTGTTTGCGTTGATGTTAGCCATTCTTCACGAGTGAATCGCCTAAAATTATTCTCTTCTCTCGAATTATTCTCTTTCTCATCTCAATTTCTACATATATCCCGAATTAGCTTTCTTCCCACTTTTATCACCAGCATCAAACTTTGGATGGGATGGGAGTTAAAAAAAACTTCTGTTTCAGTAAGTTTCAGCAAGAAGATCAGCGACTACCTCACAGCAAAGTTTGATGCCATTTTATGTTGAACGTGGACAGACCGACATTTACTACCGCGAAAGTCTGGGCAACCAGGCCTCCTGAAACCGTTGTGATTGACGGGGAGGGTGGAGGGGAGGACGCCGCCTTCCCACAGCATGCAAATACCGAAAAGCGGGAAGTACAATAATGGGAAACAACATATTGTCGTGTATATATCACGTATGTTATAATAAGAAATGTATTTAAAACAATTTATGATGTCTATATACCATATTAAAAAATTATCCTTTTATATAACGATCATATTTCGAATTAATGTAACCCTCCCCCCGTAAATCCCAACGGTTTTAGGAGACCTGGTTTCCCAGGCTTTCGCGGTAGTAATTGTCGGTCTGTCCAAGTTCAACATGGATGGTGTTGATTTGGATTAAGGAAAAGCACCATTACACTTACAGCCTTACAGGTCAATATAGGCTTGTATTTAAACAGCCTTGTTTTATTAAATACTTCGTTTTCACTTTCTGGCTATTGTAATATTTCCATAAGGCGAATTTAATACAAACTTGGGGGGGGGGGGGACGACAATTAGAATTACCCATAATTTCTGGGGCTTCACGTCACCAAGTCCAAGCGGATGTAAAGAGCCTGGCTGAACGTGAAGATGCGTAATGGTGCATTTATTTAAATTCAGTTAAGAAAATCTCCTTGTAAAGTGGGCGATTTTTTGACCGTGGGAATTTAATCGTGAATACAAGTGATTCCATTGTGTTTTAATACGCACCATAAAACTCTAGTAAACAGCTTCATTATGCATAAAATTAATTACTTCAATCATTTATGCACTCGTACGTGTGGACCAGCAGTGTGCTAAGGCATTCAAATTCTAACAATTAAATTGTTATCGGTGATTTCAATAGTTTTCGTTTTTGGGGGACACCCTTTGGGTGAAAATGCACCCCCCCCCCCGGGTGTCACGTTCAAAATATTAGAAAGCCCCCCTGTCCACCTTCGAGGAATGGCCGCGGTCATGAATATTGATAATCTTCAGTGGTCTGAGTTGATATGCAAAATAGGCTTAAAAGAGGTTAACGAAATATTAGACAAGCGTTTTGAATATATTTTTACAACATTGAGAGATCTCGCGTCTGTTTTTACAAGCGATCGTACGCTGACTGAACGAGTTTCCGCGCTCAAAGACGAGTGGTTCCCTGCTAGAGACCAATACGAAAGGTCTGTAATTCATTTGGCGTCATTGAATGGCAATACGAGGCTCGTTCGATGCTTAGTGTATTCTGGGTGTCCTATCAACATTAGAGATGGTATTGGACAAACACCGTTGACTTTAGCTCTTCATATGGGGCACACAATTACGGCAAAGGTCATTATCGAATGCGGAGCTTCAGTTAGAGATGAGCTATTCCCAGATACTGTGCCTCCGTTACAAATAGCTAAAGTAAAGGGAGATAACATTATGATTGACACAGAAAATACAGGAAGAAGAAGAAGTTATTCGCCATGTTGAATCGTTTTACAAAAGCAGTTCAAATGGTTCTGAAATGCGTGGCATTGATGCCGGATTTAATTTTGCACGTGGTCTGAACATCAATGTCGGCGATCAGAAGAACACTGTTCTCATTCAAGGGTGCTCCGGTCGTTTCCCAGATGTTTATGGGTGTCATTCGCCTGGCGGTGGAGATTTTCACTGCCGTGGGTATCTGAACGAGTGCATAGCTCGCAGTGCAGGTCCTGGTGGATTTTGGCATGTGGTAGAGAATATTTTGAAAAGACCAACCGTTAATCCCTCTTCCTTCAAGTCCAAGTTTAAGGATAACAATTACAACAGTAATGAGGAAGCCATACTTGACTATGACGATGGACTTTCTATTGCCATGATAAAGGCATTTGAAAATTCCTCTAGTTTTCCAACTGCACCAGAGTTGGATAAATGCCTGGAAGAAACCAAGTGTCATAATAAGGTATTGCTCTCCAAATTGAAGGAGTGGATAAAGAAACAGGAAGAGCAAGATGCAGTGTTTCGGTACCATTCCCAGTGCATCAACCATTTAATGCCCATAACCAGGTGGTACAAGGAATCAATCAGGTATACTATTTTATTATATGCATATATCTATTGTCTCCTCTACTAAGGGCCCAATTACATGGGGTATTTTCAACCCTGGGGTTGAAATCAGCCCTGTTTACTGGGTTGAAGTTTCAGCCATGCATGTAATACAAAATTCCATGTAATCAGTCCCTATGCCTATATTTGAGACAGATTACAGGTGGCACTTCAAGAACATATGTTAATTAATAATAGAGTTGAGCTGATTAGACTAGTAACCTATCAAACTTTGATAAGTTACCTTAATGTAGAAAAGGATGTTTTAATAATATAGTATAATTGATTTCATACAATATGTTTTTACAGGTATGGGAATGGCAAGGCCATAGAAGGTGTGTGGATGATTTGTCCTGCTCTTTTCTCTCAAATGCACAAGACAAATTACAGAGATGAAGCATTCACACATACTGTCAATGCAATAGCCAAATGGCCACTTGCATACCGCCTAATGTACCAGAGGAATAGGACAGTCAGTTTGGATGGTAAAGATGGAAAACAATTGGCTGGAGACGAATGGGTTGAGGATTATCTTGTTCGCCATGTTAAGCAGTTTGCATCTGCCCAGAGCTCCTTTTCCATGGTAGAACTGATGTCCTGCAGTGTTCACTTGCTAGAGATGAATCGACAAATGTACGAATGTCGGGAGTCATTCAACATCCACACTACAAAGAAGCACAAGAAGCCACCATCCTTGTATGATCAACTGAAGGTTGCCCAATTTGTCCTCAAACAAGAATGGTTTGAATCTTATGAAAGAACTGCTGTTTACAAATACCCATGGGCTGACAAGAAATTCAAAGGAGAAGAGAAAGTTCCTAGCAAGTATGAGAATGTTTTAGAACAAGGAGAAGTCAAAGCAAGCAATGAATTTAATTCATTTCTTCACAGGAAATTTCCTAATGACATGCTATAACTTTTGTATCACTTCGCTCTGCATACATCAGTCACATTGCATACTGTTATTTGTTTCTCACTTTCAGTACATTGTTGAAAGTTTTATTCCTTATAATATAAATCTTATACTATATATATACTATATGACAGCATTTGATCAATGATAAGTAAAATTGTTGGCGTTAGATAGAGTAAATACTAAAGTTGTACACATTGCGAGCTAATTGGTTAACTGTGTGTGCCCTACTAAAGTTTATTAGATGCCAATGCACCCTACCTGGGTATTTAACACCAGGCAATTTTACTTAGGAGAACAGCAAGCAAATGGGTTAATCACAAAATAACACTTTGTCCCTCCCTTAATTATGATCGAATGGCGAAAATGTTTCTGTAGGGGAAGTGTGGATCTGTATATAATTACGTAATGTACATAGGTATTTGCTTACAAATTATTGCCATAAATATAAAATCTACAGTTTATAATACCAGGATTTTTTTATGCAGGGGGCGGGTGAAGATGGTTAAAGGATTAGTGTCAGGATCATGCATTGCTGGCTTTTGTTATTGTTTACACTTTACTCAAATACAACAAATAGCGATAAAAATACCTTGTTTGGTGCATTTCTGATAAAAATCACACAAAAATAGCAAGGATTAGAAAAGAATGGTTTAAATATATGACGGATTGTAAAAACTTTCCAGATCATCTAATCTATTCGTCCCGAAAAATGGCCGCCAGCAGGAGTTTGAGCCCGCGAACTCCTGGTGTGACACTAATCCTTTAAGGAAGGGCTTGGAAGGTTAATTATTAGGTTCAATTGAAAACAGTTGTATGCAAAAATTGCACTAAGAACCTTTATTCAAACACATACGTATTAGACCATTTATGCAAAATTATCAAATCTGACAAACACACATGGTTTACATTATTACTACAATTACCAATTAAATTTAGATAATACTATTATCAGTGTACATTATATTACTTCTCGTAGCGAGAAACACTCAGCCTGAGAGCCATCAGATCATGTGCTTTTGGTCCAAGAACAAGCTGAGAATATAAATGTTTCCCCTTTTTTTCAATAACCTCTGCTAGAATGCCACTGTTAATAAGTGAATGTAAAAATTTGTCAAGTAGCACAGCTGGCACAAACCTTTTCTCAAGGCTACCAAAATTTACTAGAGTATCCAGTTCTTGTTCCAGAATAGATTTCTGTCGACTTCCTACAAGGAAGAGTTTTAGGGTGTTACATGTAAAAACCCTTCCAGTCAATTCCACCACTGCTTGTAACACCTTCAGTGCATCAGACGTGCCATCAGTTGCATAGAAGCTCCCTCGTGTACCACAATTGTCACAACTGGTTCCACAAATGAAACTGGTTGTTTTCTCTCCAAAGAATACCATAAGGCTTCTGTGACGACACTGTACAGGATCTTCAAGAAAATGTATCAGTTCGTTAACTGATGCAATTTGCTGGCTTTGTTCACTTTGCATTTGAAACAATTTCAAAAGCATATTCTTGTCCCCATATTTATAAAATAGCACACATGTCGCAGGCAAACCATCACGCCCTGCACGGCCACACTGCTGATGGTATTCTTCAACACTTGTGGGTATTCTGCCATGGATCACATATCGCACATCCTTTTTGTCAATGCCCATCCCAAATGAAGAATTGGCAACAATCAATCTGCACTCTCCATTTACCCATTTAGAGTAACTATTTGTTTTCACTTCTTCAGACAATTTCCCATGATACTTGACACAGTCAATCCAATTTTTCAAAAGATCAGCATGAATGGTTGAAACATGCTTTGGTAAAACACAGTAGATAATACCACTATCACCCTTTCTCTCCAAAATAAAGCTTTTCAATTCATCATAGAACTTGCTTGTACGCTCTTGAACTTTCAAAAACAGATTCTCTCGGAAGATTGAAGATCTGAAGACCACCAAACCCATGAAAATATCCTTAAGTTCAGATTCAATTTTGGCAGGAACTGTTGCACTCAACAAAAGTTTAGGGCATGTTGTCTTAGCTAACTCTTCACATACTTCTCTATATATTGGACGAAAAGTGTTACCCCAGCTAACAATTGTATGTGCTTCATCAAACACGATCCTTTCTATTTCTTTTTTCTCAATCATGGACATGACAGTGCTGTTGAATTCTCCTTCCTTGAGCATTTCAGGTGTTCCAAGAACAATCTTAAATTGTTTTATATTCAACTGCTGGCTGTATTGTAATTCCTTTGGAAGTTCTCCAGTAAATTTACATGCTGATATGCCGAGATTATGACATCTACCAAGCACGTCATCTATTAGTGACAATGTGGGAGAAACTACCAAAGTGATATTGGAAGAAATTACAGCAGGTAAGAGATACATCAACGTCTTACCACCACCAGTTCCCACGACTGTCATAACATCTTCTCCGTTCATTGTTGCCATTATTGTCTCTCTCTGCAGTGGCCGAAACGACGTGAAACCAAAATATTGTCTCAGCGTATTGTCTATGAGCTCTCCTCTTTCAAGATTGTCGAAATCGTTGGCTTTGTTTAATAATGCCTCAGTTTCAAAATCTCTTGAGCTTTGGCCGTTGAAATATGTGCTTCTTTCCGAAGGTATAAAAGGTGGATTCTTCAGTACATAATTCAGTTCAACAAGCGGTTTGTTGTTTACGATGCTAATGCTATACACATAACGATCATTTGCTTCGTCCGATATTTCAATGGTCTTCGAAATATGTTCGTATTCAGCAACATAAATTTCTTGAAGACAAAAAGCAAATTTTGTGGCAGCCTCAAACGTTGAAATTGCTCTAACCACCGACTCTATTTGGCATCCTTTCACTGTAAAATTCGATGCTATATTAGGCCGCAATGGAGGAACAGCAGAAAGTTTTTCAAGCGCTTCAAGTAAGAGTTTTTCTTCGAGTGCCGCCAAATTTACTAAATGAGAAAGCTTCCTTTGTCTACCCGGGAGAGTATTTAATTTCGCCTTACACACCACCACTTAGTGAGTTTTTAGTATGCGCGAGACACATGCGCAGAACTGATAGACCATGTCGATTTTTGGCAGGCAACTCCCCTTCCTTTCTTTTCCCGCCCCGCCCCCTTCCCGCCTTTCCTTTCCGCCTTTCCCCTGACCCAATCCCCTTAATTTTATTACTACTCGGCCAAAACAACATTAATTCGCCGTTCGCGACAGTATTGCTCTTTTTTGATGGGGATTTTTCAAACGTTTGCCATTTGGGATGCCACAAGAGTTGCCTGCGGAGGAGGCTAAATAAAACTATGAAATTCAAACTAAAAATACTAACACTTCTACATTTTTTACAAAGCCAAGAAATTTAACACAGACTTAAAAATGCTTTGAAATTTAACTTAGTAAAACTATTTTCAACTACGATCCATACTATTTCCATAGTAAGGATAGTTTGAAAACAATTTCCAGTGATTTCCGAAATCTATTGTATATCAATTAATATTATACCTCAAATTCAAATTGTCCAATGAAAAAACATCATTTGTACCACGTGACAATGTGATTTTTGTGGCTAGCCCGTTCGCGGGCTAGCATATGTAACGCTAAAATCTTTGTAAGAGTTGTGACGGAAATTGTCGACTTGACTTCGGAAACTGTCGTTGTCATGACTATATTAAGCAATATTTATGTCCGCGATTTTTACAAAATCGCAGTTGGCAACGCTGGCAGAAATACTCGAAGGAATTTTTCACTTAAAGCAAACGGTACGTTATTCCAATCGATATATTTGTTGCTTGTGATGCTACTCTGAGTGCATTCATACACCCATGATTACACCCATATAGTGAGCAGGAGCTCCACATAATTGTAGATCGACAAACCGATAAATATTACAGTAATAAAAGACAAACATGAATATAGTGAACGAATTAACGTACGATGGCGAAATTTACCAATGGACTGGCTCTTTGAACAAGTTAAAGACCTTTGTTGAGAAAACGCTAAACGCTAAAGGGACATGGACTTCACCCGGCGGCGACGTCAAACTTTTTAAGGATGATGATTCAGATCTGATCATTAAATGGTATGGTCCTCGTTCCAAGAAACTTATAACCCTTACAGACAACTGCGATCACCCTTTAAAATTGAAGTTGGAATGTCGGGCAACGCTGGGTTTAAGAATTAAAGAGACAACATTGAGTTTAGGAAGCAAAGAAACGGCTAAAGACGCCATTCCCAGACCGCCTGAGGTACGTTCAAGCGCTTGTAGCTGCTCTTGTAAATCTGTTGTAACAGATTTGGAGGGTGTAAAGATAGACATGGTAATTCTCGAGACGCGTTTGGATTCTATAATCTCTCCTGATGAAATGATCATAGAAATAAATTCCCTCCACAGTAAGCATAAAGATTTAGAGGCTATAATTCGTAAACAGGACGAAGTAATAAATAAACTGTACAAAGACAATACACTTATTAAGTCAAAATTGTTATCGCTTGAAATGATAAATCCCAGTGCATCTATTAATGATCTGAAGAACAATGCCTGTAATTCGACTAACGAAGTAAACTCAGTTTGCGAATCTATTAGCGATAATGCTAATGATCAACATTTAAATAATTCGACCAAGACCATCATCGGAACTGCTGCAAACAATAAAAATCTCACTTTGGACAAGTTTCCAAACATTAGCGGCCTTGCTAACATCATTAGCGCTCCTGATAATTATTCCAAAAATACAACTATAAACAATGCAAGTCCAATTAACCTCAAAACCCCTCAGATTCATCAACAAAGTTTATCAACACATAAAGAGAACAATGCTACACGCAATAAACAAGACGAGATCACAGCCGTCAAACCACAGAATAAACACCATACTAACGCAAAGCATACCATCCCGTGCCCGTTTCTTCGCAAACGTGGCTGGTGCGCCAAAGGCAGTTTATGTGATTTTTTTCCACACCGACAAACCTATATATAATAATTCCCTACCACCAAAACACCTGGTACCGTGCCCCTTCTTACAAAAGAAAGGAAGGTGTAAAAAAGGCTCATTCTGTGATTTTTCTCACGATATTCTACCCCGCTACACCTATTCACGACCTAACTCTCACCAAACTGTTCCACCTGCTTTTTTTGGTGGGTTCCAGAGTGCCCCGTCCAACCCCAAACCACTTCCCTTGAGGATGCTACGTACAACATAGGATGTTAGGGTTTGTACCCAGTCCACCCACCTATCCACGCACCACGTTGGGGAATGTAGATAAATCACCCACTTCCAATGTCCCACATAACTCCAAAATCACAACTCCCTTGTCCTGTCCGAATAAATTATATTTTGTTCCTTCATGTCTACTATCTAATGTAATGTCATTAGCCCCAAAGATTGACGAGATTGCGCTAACAATAACACAGCAAGATATAGACATAGTTTTTATAACAAAGACGTGGTTAAGACAATCTATTCCAAATGATCCAATTAACATAAAGGGGTATCAATTGTTTCGAAGAGATCGTACAAATAGACTCCACGGAGGAGTTTGTTTGTAGTAAAAAACAGTATAGACCTTATTCATAAATCGTGATGAGGCCTCGTATCTTAGGAAACGGGGAAAAGCGCGGGAAAATTGACAAAATGTTTTTTTGCTGTCGGCTATGGCAGCTTTTTTTCGTGAATATTACGGCTTTTTTCGAAAATAATATCTATAAAACTGATCTTGAAAGTTGAAAAAATACTTCTGAGAAAATATAACATGATATTTAAAGCAAAAGATGCTGGAGTCAATCGAAAAAGGAAACCTTTGACTTTGTATTATTGTCAAGTTTGTATGGCCCAAACAAACAACCAACAAGGCTACGAAACGTCTATGCAACACAAAAATCGTAAGAAATATGAAACTATTGTTGAAGGAATAAGATTACAACTCACTCAGGTAATGCGGCCTTCATTTTTGACTCACGGATGTTGCGAAGCAACATCTGTGAGTCTTTGTGGTTTACTTGAGTGGGGGCAGTTAAACAATGGGAAATGACCAGCCTGCTTTGCGCGCAGTGTTTGCCTGCGAACGGGTCTTTTGGAACCGAAAATTGGGCTGGAGCACGCTTCACGTTCTTTTCAACTTTTGACTTTTTGACAAGCGTATGTTAAATTAAAAGGTGAGTGTTTCGTTTTTGTTTGGTTGACTTAATTACCTCCGCCAGGAGGTTATGTAATCATCTGGGTTTGTATGTGTGTGTGTGTGTATGTGCATGTGTGTGTGTGTATGTGTGTGTGTGTGTTTGTCTGTGAGCACGATAACTCAAGAAATACCAAACATATCCGTACGAAATTTTGTGAGTGCATTTCCCATCGGCTAAGGAAGAACTGATTAAAATTTGGTTGAATTTGGTTAAAAATTGAATGAGAAATAACAAAAGTTTGTTTTGCTTTTCCCGGTCAATTAAATAAAACTTATACTGAATGCGTAATTAGGACGTGCATAATATATGCACCAGCCATTCAAATTCTAATAACAATAGATTACTTCAATATTTTGCGCGTAGGCGGAGGTATGCAGTCTCTGAGTGCCCTCTAGTTGTTACCTGTTTTTCTACTTCACCCAACAGATCTGCTGTTAACACACTGATCTACCTTTTAGCTGAAATATTAACAATATTTTGTTCAATATATATACAAGTGTTCACATTTTCTGGTGCCTTTCGAGCGCCTCTGTCAGCTGTGTTTCAACACCGTTTCAACACTGTTTCCATAGTTTCTGTCGATTGAAAGAGTTTTTTGTTTACCAAATTTAATCATGTTATTTAAATTAAATAATTCATGTTTTAGCTGTCACGGAATACAAAGGACATATTTGTCTTATTCGAAGCAACACGACACAAAATCTTGGTATTAAAATCACGTTGCCGTTGTATATTTCATATGACCGCGCTTGCACTGTAGCCTAGTATCAGCTGGCACGGACGAGTCTCAGCAGTGTATCGATAAATCGCTTCATTTTTATCCTCTATCAGGAGAATTTCAGCTGTCCTTATGCTCTTTGATGAATGTCCCACTTATATTTAGACGCAATGAAACAACATCAAAACCACTAGTTAATCCAACGAAACTCTGTCGGATTACTGGGGATGGCAATTGTTTATTTAGAGCACTGTCGTATATTTTAACCGGTAGACAAACATACCACATGATTTTAAGACAAAAAATAGTGGATCACATGAACAGTATAGAACATGTCCTTAGACCATATATGAATAGTTCAGTAGATCATCATTTAGCCACAAGCAACATGAGGAACAGTGGTGTGTGGGGGACTGATATTGAAATTTT